TTTTTTTTTTAAAAAAAAACATAAAAAAAAAAAAAAAAAAAAAATTTCCCAAAAAAAAAAAAAAAAAAAAAAAAAAAAAAAAAAAAAAAAAAGGGTAATTACTTTTTCACAAAAGGCCAGGGTGGTTTGGACAGTGTTTATTAAAAAAGAAAAATCCATAACTGAGTGAAAGCATTTAAACTCTGGTGCTGAATTTTCTCTATTGCTGTCTAAGAACAAGTCAGTTTGGTACCATAGACATATCAAAATGTAATACTAATCCTGAATCTACTTAATCTACTGACAGTCAAATGTGCAGGTAGATGTATTTTCACTTTGCTTTCCAGGAAGCCCAGCTATCAAATGTCTCGTTTCAGCTTGAAACACAATTAAGTAAAGATATTTTTTCACTAACAGTAATTTTTTGAGATAATAAACTGTATTGACTCAAGGAGAAAAGTCTTTATTAAATGGTTTGAATTAAACTTGCTCATCATTTTAGAGCAGGAGGTGATCATGCAAGGCACGTGATGTTTCCGCTCCATTTCCACTCCGAAGTTGTTCGTATTTCACACGCTTCCTGTTGAGTTGCCTTTCTGCGCTTTGGTTTGGTTATAGTAGTATATAACTTTGAGATAATCGCTGCATCGTTTGGTGATGGAGCCAAGAATTGGGTGAAAACCGATTTCCACATCACGTTACAGAAAAATTCCCCGTTGCTTTGGATGCAAATTATATAAAAATATATAAAAAGAAAACAGCACTGATCGACAAGTCTGTATTTCCTGGGTTGATGATGTTGTTAGTCCTGGCAGAGACGCCTTTTTAAAAATGATTATTATTATGTCTAGAGGAAAAATTGTCTTTTTTTTTTATGTCAAGCTTGCATCCGGTTGCAGTGTGACAGCTGCAACTGCCACGCTGCAAAACTTGGCGTTTCACAATCCATCATAGCCCCTAAGCTGCATACATTTCCAAAATGCTGAAAGTGCTTTATAATGTACATTAACTTCCTCATTCTTAGCTACTGTTGTGTGTGTGTGTGTGTGTGTGATGATTTTAATGTTAAAATGTTATGATTTTAATATTTTTAGTGACATAGGATTTGTCCTGACGTACTCCAGAAAGAAGAGTGCAGACGTGACAAAAGGAGACGGTGAATGGGATGACCACTGAAAGAAAAACTATTTAGCCTAGCTAACACTCATGACATAAAAAAAATATTTCTATCATGTAACTGTTTTTGATTAAACACATAAAACCTGCTACAAAGTGTTAACGACACGCTAAACTTTCTGATGCTGTGAAACTGCACGCGCTGATCGGCGGTGAGATTGCTTGCGCTTTTAAAAAAAAAAAAGAAAGATAGAAAATGAAAGCACTAGCAGCAAGCACTTTATCATGGTGTTGAAACACTGCCAGCATAACCATTTCACTACTGGTTAAAACTGTCACCCGTCATAGCAGCCTGTGTCTGGGTGTGTGAGTCAACATCTTATTCCTGTGGTGAGCAGACAGTTCCCCGGGTGATGTGTAATGTTTTATCACTTCTCTAGAGCTTTTTTCCCCCATGTAAGCTAGCACTGAACAATGTGAACGACTAGCGATGTACAATCACTCTTTGTTTGTATAGCACTATTAATGTGGTTCACATGTAAAATAGGCAAAATAGTTACATTAAAAAAAATTTAAAGCACAATGACCCAGAATAAAATAAGTGATAAAAGCAAAAGAAGTGGCGACATAATCGGGCTAATTGTCCAGCTCCCGTGAACTAAAAAGAAAGGAAACACTTTTTGTCACTTAAGTTTAAGCTTACTGTCTAAACTTAAAAGCTTTAACAGGATTTCACTTTCATTCGTTCAATGTAGAAAGATGGAAAGGTCATGCACTTTTGTCAACATTATTTAGCAACAAACAAAACTTTTTGGAACGTTACTAGAAATGCACCGATCTGATACTAACATCTGTATCGGTCCCAATATTAAAAGACATTATAGATTGGGTATCGTGACAATGTTTCCAGTCCATAAGGGCAGATCTGTTCAGTCTAATTCTATCTCACAGTCACAAGAAGAAACAGATGAGATGAACTGATGTTTCAATGTTGGTGAAAAGACGTAATCTTTAAAATGTATTCAGTGAGGCCTTCCAGTTAATCTGCAGTACACTGGTACTGGTTGACATTTATAGAAGTCAAAGTCTGACTCATAAGAAGATGTGATATTTCTGATTTTTCAGAACCTAACATCTTATAAGCATCGTTTGTGTTGCTTTTATCTGCCGCCTGTCCTGTACCCTTCTTATTATAGCATGCTAGCATGTGTGCAGCTAAGAGATAACTCTGTTTGTAAAACTACTCAATCTGACTGGTGACTGTTTTTTTTTCTTTCACTCCAGAGAAGTAGGATAAGTGGTTGGTTTGTCCTCCAGAAGCCTTTAGCAGCACAAATAGCTCAGCTTAACTCTTAAGTCTAAGCAGTCTGAGACCACAGGGTTCTATTAGGAAATAGTTCTGACGTATCACGGACCTCGACCATCTTCACCATCACTGTGGTTGGCGCATGTAGGTTGTGCGTCAGATTTACAGGAGAAGAGAAAAAAAAGAAAAGAAAAACAAGAACTGCGTTTAAAATTTTAACACGTTAAAATCTGAGAGATTAAGATGATCAATTCATACTTTTTGCCTTTGTCTTTGTTAGTTGAACAGCCCTTTAAGACTTTTATTCTGTCTAAGTTTTTTTTTTTATCTTAATTGCTTCAATGTTATGCATTTTAATTTTTTTGGTTGTTTTTTGTTGTGCATCTTGAGTTGTTGTAAATGTGCTACATACATTTATCTGACCTTTGACCTTAGCCAACATGTGCCGCTTGAAAATAATGCCAAAGTTCTTTACATCATTACCAGAGGACAATTTAATGCCAGCTAGAGTAAGTGACTAGCGAAGCAGTTGTTCTTATAGAGCCTCTGTCATGTCCTAATTTAAAGGCAGGAAATTAATTCATCCTGTTTTTTTGCACTGAATCGTGTGGCACTCCACAAAGTGCATGAGGAAGATTATTTATTCATGTTAATGAACAACGTCTGTCAGAGAACTGTATCCAGGACATGTGACCCTAAAGTTAAAGTGTCGTTAAGCAGGTTAAAGGAGGAAATGGGGCTGAACGCGGTTAGTGGACAAGTTTCAGCTGAATAAAAAAAGAGAAATGTGTGTTTTTCTTGTACTTTGCCAAGATGCCCTACTTAGTGTTGGTAGATTGCATGAAATCCTATTGAAAAGTAACTTAAGCATGATGGGTTGGGTTTGTGTTAGATAAATTTTTTTGAGTGGATAAAATTCTTTTTATGAAATAGGGCAAAATAACATCACAGCTATTAAGCTGCTGATGTATTTATTTCGTATCATATTGATTTAGGAATGAAACGTTTATGAGTTTTAATTGATTTTTTTTCCTTTCCAGACAGTTTCCCAAACACCTGCTTCATCAAAAGCTTCCTGCGTTCAACTCCTGGTTTTATGGACTGCTCATGCTGTGTCTGCTGGTGTTCGTCGTGTTCTTGGCCTTTTCGGATAGCACCCTGTCGTGGTCCGAAACGTTCTCTCTTCAGAGACAGTACCAGCGTTTTTTCAACCAGAGCATTCAAGTGAACACACCTGCTTATCTGATTCCCCCAAAACACAGAGCTTTTCTAAATACAATGAAGGAAAAGACGACACCGACCCCTGAAGGCCTTCAGTACCATGAAGCGTATCCGCACAACTACAGGTATGTCATGGACAACCCCGAGGTTTGCAAAGTCAACTCGCCTTTCCTGGTCCTGATGGTGCCGGTGGCGCCAAGCAACGTTGCGGCTCGGGACGCGATCCGGGCAACGTGGGGCAAAGACCGAGTGGTTCAGGGTGAGACGGTACTCACTCTGTTCGTGTTGGGTCTCGATAAAAGACACGACGTTGAGAAGCTCCAACAGGAGAACCAGCAGCACAACGATCTGATCCAGAGTAGCTTCCTGGACACGTATGTCAACCTGACCATTAAAACCATGGTGATCATGGACTGGCTGGCCACGCGCTGCCCTGCAGCGGCCTACGCCATGAAGGTGGACTCTGACATGTTCCTGAACGTCGATAACCTGGTGATCATGTTGAAGAAACCAGGGATCCCCCAAAAAAACTATCTGACAGGAATGCTCATGTGGAACAGACCCGTTATCCGGTCCAAGGACTCCAAGTGGTACGTTCCCGAGGAGCTGTACCCTAACCCTCAGTATCCCACATACACTCTGGGCATGGGGTACGTCTTTTCCAATGACCTGCCCACCAAATTTGTGGAGGTCTCAAAATCTATCAAGCCTTTTAACATAGAGGACGCTTATATTGGGATGTGCATTAAAAAGCTGGGACTTTCGCCGACGTCTCCGCCAGACCCTTCGCAGTTTAAGGCGTATAATTCTAAGTACGATCGCTGTGAATTCTCTAAGATCATTACGTACATTCTTAGCTCTTCGGAACAATTGAAAAACTATTGGGCAGACTACAAGAAGCCTGGACCTCACTGCTAAAGCCGTTCACACTACAGATGCAACGTGATGATGTGATGATTTCTAGATATTCTGCAGGTTGAAAAATTGCGAATGGCAATCAACGTTTAAAAAGAAAAGAGTTTTTTGCTTCAAATTTCGTGAAGCAAAGCTGTTATACATGTTTCAGTTAATCTGGCAGGATGTGAACCACTACTGGAATTGATGTGCTATTCTTTTAAAAATGGTTTTATATGTTTTTTCTGTGTGTTTTGTTATATTTTAAAAAGGAAATTGCATAGAATGCACTGTTATTCAAACAGAGAAACTGGCCTGCACTTTACTGAGTAATGGATGTCAAACACCAAAACTAACATGTCAACATGAAAAAAGGGCAAGGACTTTTACTTGAAGTTAGCACAACATAAATTAGTAAATGCAACTACGACTATCAGAGAAAAGGTTGCATTATGTTGGCTATGTCCAGTAAATTAAAAACATAAATCAATTGTGTTCCTGTTAATTGATTTTAAACGATGTACCTGGGATTTTGGAATAAAATGGTACGTTTTGTGAGTTTTGTATTTGATTTGTTTTTCTTTTCAGCCACAATTTTCCACATGTTCTTTAGATTTGTTTTTAATTGTTCTGGATTTTGACTTAGTACATACTAAAACTCATCACGATATGAGGGTTTCATATCCACCATTAAGGATGTTGACTGATGTTGACAATTGTAGATACGGGACTTTTTTTTTGGTTTTTGTTTTAAATACTGCCGAACTGGTGATGTGACGCTTCCCGTTCCATCTACAGTTTTCTTTAAACACTGTAGTTTGTTTTATTTTTAAGCAGCTGTGTGGGGAAATCTAAAACTGTTAGAAGGAAGTTTAGCTTTCAACACGTACTATCAAGACAAAAATAAGTGTTGCATGTAGCACCTACAACTCTAAACTTAAATTAAAAGTGGGTGGTGCTTGCTTATGGAAAGTAAAGATTAAAATGTTTGTAAGTTATTGCTTCACCATGTTGATATTCTGACTTCCTTACTAGAACGCTGTTATCTTGACATCAAGTCCAGCTCCGGGTTCCCATTTCTGAGTTAACTGGAACACAGCGTAAAACTTTCAGGAGTGCATTTTGTCTTCTGAAAACGTCGGGAGAGTTTGTCCGCTTCTCTCTGGAGCCAATACAGAGAGACACAGAGGAAAGCAGCGATAAGTTTGTTCTCTTAAAAGGAGAAATTAAATTTGGCCACAGATGCTTTGGATTTTAGCTGCAAAATGAAGACAAAGAGAATGAGCTCACCGGTCGCCGTTATGCGTTACCCTTTTTTTATTGGTATTTAAGACATACAGAGTCTAAATCTTAAGATTTTCTTTTAACCGACCAATCCCTCAGCTTCTTTGAAAATAAAAAAACAATAGTTTGATGGAACTCAAAGTGCAACGCAGCTTTTATTTGTAACCTCTCATGAGGTCAGATCATCCTCCCTGGGTCAGCTGGGTCACACCAACAAGCAGAACCCCACCCAACAGTGGAAACGGACTGTTTGTGCTCAGTTTCTGCCTGATGACAGAGATGATTTCATATCCTTCTGCTTGTTGGTCCCACATGAGAGAGATTCCTGGTTCTGATCAGTCAACAGCAGTCGGGTTTTCTGAAGCTTCAAAATGCTCTGGCTGACGGAAACGTGTTCACCACTAACAAGTGAAGGCGTTTCCCTCAGGTCTCCAACGGGTCTCTGAGAGACAGAGCAGCGGCTAACCTTTAGCGTCTAAGAGAGTCCCCTCTGATGCTGCCTATATGAAAAAACCTTAAATATTTTGTAGCGTCCTCTATAATGCACCCCAAACAGCATTAGCTTCTAACTACTCCCATATGAAACATATGGGAGTATGTTTCATACTCCCATATGAAACATATGGGAGTAGTTAGAAGCTAATGCTGTTTGGGGTGCAGTCTGGTTCTGAAGGTCCGTAAACTGCTGTTTAGCTGCTGTGGATCAACATGGATTCAGATCCATCAGACATACAACAGCTGAAGTTGGTGATGATCTGCAGAACTCAGGACCCTAAGGAGGAAATAAAGTTCTGGTCCAGCTTTCTGCAGCAGAAACTCCAGAACAACAAAAAGTTCATGATTTGCATTGAGATTAAATCTAAACTGAACATTTATCTGTTGATTTATACGGAAGCGCATTGCTATCACGCAGGAAAAAATTTTTTTCGAGCGCTATCACGTTATAACGTGATA